GTTAACTGATATTACTCATGTATTTTTGTTTAGCTTTTTGGAGATTTGGTAGTTTACCATGACAGAAAAACGTTCTTTTAGTTGATGCAGAAGACAATCTTAGGGTATAGTGCATGATACTGAAAATATGAACACGTAGTTTAATCGTATAGCAAAAAGGTAAAAGGGATTCCTTACTATATGTCTCTCTTTGGGACTCTTTTATGTTTTTTGGCATTATGATTGATTGTGAGTATCACGACTTCAAAAATAATGTTTATTGTTTAAAGTTCTGAACCGACAATCTCTTAGACTCAAGTATCCATGGGTGCGTGTTGTCAACCATTCCCAAGGTGATTTAACAAGAATGTCTACATGATTTAGGCTCGGAGAATAGAAAGAGAGTACTTTTCCCGTACTAGAGAATATAGGCTTGCTCGTAAAATTGGTTTTGAGCAATCGGCAAAGATGTTCTCTGAAAGGTAAGTGCTCTCACGACTATAAAAGTTGTCTTCTTCATTGGTAGCATTAGAATTAAAATTCTGTTCAGAAAATTTTCCAGTTCAATCATATGTCTCTCTGCATTTAGTTGGAGTTCTGTGTGGCAGTAAGAAGAGGAGGAAGGGTACAATCGCTTTCTTAATTGACAGATTTTCCAAACTATCAACAAGCAACTAGAAAATGAAAGAAGGTGCTTCTGCTCCACTGAAGAAGAATAATTAAGGATTTTGGCCAGTCCTAACGACTACAAGAATAATTACAACTTGAAACGAATGAAACGGGAGTGACTCGACTAAAAGGAGACGTCCAAATTGACTAAACACGTTTCTGTCTATACAACCATTAGCTGTTTTGTTTGAAACGGAGTATAACTGCTATGTTTTCTTAAAACGGCATCTACAACACCTGACTAAAGTCGAGAATTTCAGGCATCCAATCGCCAGTTATAGAGCTGGAAACTCAACTAAGTCGCCTTCGAAAGCTTATTCCAGTTGATGTAAGAATAAGGTTGTCTGTTCCTTTGTCTTTTACTGTATTCTTAGAAAAAGATTTATTTACTGCTTTGGTGCAGGTAAAGTTGTATCCAATAATTGAAATATGTTTTTTTTTATTTTCATCGTATATCAGGCCCAAGGAACATCTTCATGGAGTGTACATTTTGACCCTTTCAGTTTTAAATTGTTTGACGTTGCTGATATTTAAGTCTGCACCATGAGTTGTGTATAGGGTGTGTATTGATACAAGAAAAGAAGAACTGGGGCAATGGTTGATTACTCATGTGTGCTGGCGGGGAAAAGGTGTATACACAAAAATACATGTTTCAATGTACCATGTTTTAGTTACCTATATTGATTCACTATTTCGTGTGTCATTTCTCGCAACCATTAGTATTTTTTTTGGTATGTCATTGTTTGAGTTGGTTTGCTCCGATTTTAGTTTTGGTCTGCTTTTGGTGTTTGTTCAAATTTTTGTATTACAGCAGCAATTTTTTTGGATTCAGTTTATATTATTCTGAGTTATAATTACCTGTTTTTTATTTACTTGGACAATAAAAGTATGATTTATGTAGTTTTTAAAACAGTACATTATACTCCCTTCGTTTCATAATAAGTGTTGTTTTAGATTTCATTTTTTGTTTCAAAAAGAGTGTCATTCTGCATTTTCGATGTAACTTTTTACCCTTATTTCCTGTTTTATCCTTCATTTAAAAATAATAGTTTTTGTAATTAAATGTTATAAAAGTATATTAATTAAAGGTATATTTGTATATTTTATTAATTTCTTAATTTGTGTGAAATGTGTTAGAATGACACTTATTATGAAACAGAGGGAGTATATTTTCACATGCTATTGAAGTCGTTAACAATAACAAAAAACATTTCCCAAAACTACAAAATTTATTATTCAGAATGAAGTCATGAAGAGCTAAAGAATACTTAAATAGTTTATTTAAAAATATTACTTTTAAATATTTTAAAGTTTTATATCATTTATATTTTTAAATATAAAACATTACCAAAATACTAATTATAACCTAAAACTAATAAAAAAAAATTATGAAAAACCCGTGCGTAGCCCGGGGCAATCTCTAGTTTTTTATAAAACAAAATAAAACAATAGCTACTGTGTTTTAAAAAGTAAGTTAACAAAATTAATTTCAACTAGATAATTTTCCTACTTTACGCTTTCCACTATAAATTTTAATTATAACGTTTCATTATTTTAAAATTTAGATGAGTTTTAAATTACTGTATGTGAACAGATTCTGTTTATCGGGTTTTGGATAATGTTGATTCTGCGAATAATTAGGAAGAAGAAAGAAAATGATATTTTTTTGCTTAATATATTTCAAAGGAGTTTTAGATAACGTTTAGACAAATTCAAATAAGGAAAAATGGAAAATAATGTGTAGATTACATTACTTATTTTTATTTTTGTTAAAACAACAATAAATAAATTGGATATTAAGAATGTAAGAAAAAAAGACATACAGTTAAAAAAAATTAAAATGATATATAGCATGATATTTTTTATCGCTGTTAAATATATATATATATATATATATATCATGATACAAAATAATGTGCGATCGTAAACAAAACTGTGTTTATAAAAACTATAATATAAAGACATATTTTACACCCACCCATTCATTTCTTCACATGTGCGTTAGTTTTTTTTTTCACATGTTCGTTAGTTGCAAGTCTTAAAACCTACAACTTCTTAAATTTTTCGAGAATACTCGTTTATTATATGGTTTTACACATTTTCAAAATAAACGATGCAATTGTTTCGATTCACTGTCTTTTTCTCATGTTAAATTAAATGTGTCTTGCACACATTTTTTGTTCTTCGTAAAAAAGAACGTTTTTGATGTCGCATATATTACCGAGTTTTATAAAACTCAAACACATGTTTTTTTTTTTCAACAATCAGAACTCTATGTTTCAGTTAAATGCAATCGTGTAGAATTTTGATATTCTTGTTGATGATGGATGATTATTTTCATCAGCAAATATTATTGAGTGCTTTTAATATGCACAAGGAAATGTACTTGAGGATTTTAAATAGATCAGATGATAGTTGAAATTTTTTTCTCATTTAAATATCCCTTACTTTTATAGTAAAGAAATTGCTATAATTTATTTTATTTTTTACTAAATTTTTCTGAAAATACATATGTAGGGGGATCTTAGTAGGGGAATGGGACCATGTGAAAAAAAAATGAAAAAAAAAGAAGAGGAAATATTGTATAAATAGTAACGTAAAATAGAACTCCGAGTCAGCAAATAATAGTGGAGGGTACAATGGAGCTGTTGATGAATGCCACGTATTCACATCTCATGAAAGTGCTCAACGAATCCTCTTTAATTAGCATATGGGACCCATTTGCGACATTGTTGATTTCGACTTTTTGTGTTTTGTGTTTGTTTGTTTTTTCTTTTTCTTTTTTTTTTCTTTCTAAATATTGTGTCTGAGTGTGGACCACTCTTTCATTGGCACCTCATCTTTATATTCGTTTTAATATCTCTATTATTACTTAGACCATAATTATTGCTGATACTCTTATTTGGATCTCTTAGTTTTTTTTTTAAATTAAATTGAGAAGAATGGTCACGTGGAGGAAGAAAAGAGGGAGAGAGAAGGTAGAGACCGTCTCTTTTAGTCTCAAAGTAAGAGACGTTCCGAAATAAGAGACTGTCTCTTTTAATCTCTTTTAGTTTTAAAATAAGAGACGTTCCCGAAAAGTTTTCAAATCAATTGATTAAAAAACTATAAAATAATATTTAGAAACCCTGTTGTATACTGCGATAATCCTGCCCTTATGTTCTTGTTTTTAAAATATATAGTCGGTTTCTAAATTAATATATTTGATATTGTTGTTGATTTTCTTGTAAAACAAATCCGTCCAATCTAAATCCCATTATTGTTATAAGCATTGTTTAGGGTTATGTCAATTCAGATTACACATATTATAACACTCCTCTAAAATTCATTAATTATCGAATAACAAATAAACCACGCATGTGTCGCTGTTATGTATAAGTCTGGGCAAATACAGAAGGTTGCGTTTGGTTTAGACATAATTGCTTACAAACGTTATCTTTGATCTTTGTGGCTGGATTATTGTGATTGCATGCATTTGAAACTAATTCTATAACGCCGTAAATAATTCCAAACCAATATTTTTGTTATTTTAAACGTTTTCATAGAAGAAATATATGTTATTACCGATCAATTTAATCCAGTCTTATTATAACCATTTTGTTACATGTATACTTTTCTGATTACAAATTTATGTTTTCTTAAAAATATATACACAAGCCAACAAAACAAAGTTTTGGCGGAAGGACGGAAGCTTAATCAAATAATTATGATGATGATGTAATGAACACAATATTTTATGACTAAAGAGCTAGCTATTATTTGTAGGACTATTGACTAAAGAAATAAAGTACCCCTTTTCTTAAAATAGGAATTTATTTATGTTAAAACTAGAAAAACATAACGTATTACCAGTTTAAAACCGTGTCACACACACTATTATTTGTATAAAGAAGTGCTGTTAATATTTGCGTCAACGTATTAGTAGCCATAGTATGTTGATTGTTGACTATCCTCAGAACGAGAATTGACGACTTAATGCATGTACTATTAAAACACTAGAGTACTAGTGAAACTATAAATTTCTTTATTTCTATCTTTTGTTTATTAAGCTCTTCTGGTTTTTCATCGATGGTAAGTTTAAAACCTGGTGCGCCAGCCAATTATCTCCCTCTCTAGACGTTCTTAAGAAAGAAAAAATAAATCCAAAAGATTTCGATTCCAATAGCTTCACACGTTTCGTGGTCTGTTACGTCATATGGTAGTTTCGTTTTTGAAGATAAACAGTAAGGGTTTTATTCGTAAAATAAGACTAGTTCACGTGAAATATTGTAAATATTGCAATAAATAAAAGTAATGTAAAGTTTCTCAACCCTCCCACCAACTCCACCATAAATAACACATCTCTCTTCCATCTCTTCTTTGTGGAGGTTTCACAAACACCACCAATCTTCTTCTTCTTCTTCTTCTTCTTCTTCTCTCTTTTCTTTTTATGTTTCTTCTTCTTTTTTAGTTTTTTGGATCAAAACCCTTTCTCTCGATCAAGATCATGCTTAGCAAAAGAACCCATCCCATGATCGGCAAAATATCGGAGCTCCTCGTCGGTGTTAACCGGTCTGCGGCGGCGGCGGCTCCTTTCTTCGACGTCTTGATGACGAGCCCTAAAAGCCCACTCGATTTCAAGATTCTCCCTCAGATATCTCAAAGAAACAGCTCAAAGAGATTCTACGATGAAAATCTTGGTGGGTCCGTTGGTCTAGGGATTGTAGCCGCACTCGAGAACTCAACCACTCGTCGAATCACGAGCGTTTGTAGATCGGAACCGAACCAATCCGGCCGGTCTGATCCGGTTAAGTTCATGAGCCATGGAGGAAGCACGGACGAAGAAGAAGACGAAGAGATGTTCACAATGGACGAGGAGGATTACACTTTGGTGACGTGTCACCATGGTCCTAGTGGATCTTGTAGTACAAGGGTTTATGACAGAGATGGGTTTGAGTGTTTCGCAAGTGAGATCAACGAAGATCGTCGTGAGAGACTTTTCGTGGTCGATGTAGGTATGGAATCTCCGGAGAATTCGCCGGAGTTTCAGGGTTTGGATTTCCTCAATTCGTGTTACTTATGCAGGAAGAAACTTCATGGTCAAGACATATTTATTTACAGGTATAATTTGGGAGCAAAAATATAAGTACTTTAATATTATAGTTTCAAAGCTCGATTTCGTATTATATTGATTGATTTTTTTTTTAAAAAATGCAGGGGAGAAAAAGCATTTTGCAGCACAGAGTGTCGATCGAGTCATATAGCAAATGATGAAAGGAAAGAGAGATGTAGATCGAAATTCTCAACCTCTCCTTACACCGCCGGCCAAATTTTCTCCGCCGGAGTTCTAGTGACTTAGCCGGAGTTCTTCTACTGAGTATATATACATATATATATATATATATATGGGGGATCGGGGGTAAATAAAATAATTAGGCATAAATAATCGGCGAGAGTAGCATATATATATATATATATATAAAAATGACATGCATGTCCATATAATGATATATGTTATATAATATATGGTGGAAACGAAACAACATCGAGAAATTTTGGCGAGGGGGTTAATGATAGTCAAGAGTGCTAATTCTTGATCGTTAAAATGGCGAGAAATGGAATTCAGCTCTTGTTTTTTTTTTTTTGGTTATTTTGTTTTTGTATTTTGTGATAATTAACATATTAAAATAATTTTGAAGTGAATTTTCCTTTTTCTTGTGTCCGTTCTTTTAAATTTTGTTTGAAAGGTGAGTATAATTGCTCCAAGCATCAGATCAAATAATTGAAGCGAATATTAGCAACAACAAAAAAAAATGGAGCGATGAAAGTTGTACAAAAAAATAAGAATGATATACGAATAATTTGCGCATAATTATGATGTATAATTGTATAAAGCATACAAATGGTTGTTGCGGTGTTGGTTTGTGTGTGGTTTATTCATCAATCAACTTGTGAAAGATACGAAAACTATAAAATAAACATAGAAAAAAAAATACTAGTAATAAAATAACATTGACCCATACGGAAGAAGCCAGCAATGAGAATAAGCCCAAAAGAGGGACATCATTGCTGAGTGGTTGGGCCCACCATAAATGTCTAATTATTAATTAATTATATTATATAGAACGAACAAGACAAAACCTAATTTCTTTGTGGTCCTATCATTAAAATTGGTTTGCATGCAAAATTTTAATGTCTTTGTTCTTATTCGAATTGAGTCCTACACAATTTTCAGGCTTTTGGGTCCATTAGTATGTTGCTCTTTAAATTTTGGTTACATATAGTAATATAGTATGATTGCTTGTGTTTAAAATGATACTCATTTAGGGGATATGAATTTTTGAGAAGTTTATTTGTAAGATAATGACATCGAGTGGTAAATAATCCAAAAAATCGTACCACTAAATGAAGATGACTCGTGTTAATGGTTTTTTCTTTAACAATAACACGTCCTCTTCAAATCAAACCAATCTCTATTGTTTTCTAAAACCGCTGTTTGTTTTTTTAATCTAAAATTAATTGGCGATGAGTGATAAATGTCGCTATCTTTTTATATTTGTGTTGAATCATATCAATTTTTCATGTGAAATATTATAGCTAACAAGAGTTATATTAATCGAACTTCTTACACTGCTAAGCATATTTATAAAACAAAATAGTAGTAATTATTGAAGTACGAAATTTTGATGAACATTATCTCATTAAATAGTCATAATCACCAAAGAACAGAGCTTAATCGGTAAATTTTGAACAAAAACCAAAACAAAACAACCCACAAGCCCCTATTCTTAAGGGAATGTCTATGGATACAATTTTGAAACCAGAAACAAACAAACAAACTCCCGGAAAATTCGAACTGATACTAGACTCATCACCGATTTTCCTCTCTGTCAGACAAGAAACCAAGAAAAATAAATGGTTATCTCTGACCCAAATCTGGTTAAATCAAATCAATAAGTCTAAGAAATTCATTGCTACCAAAACTTTTATTGTGTTTCTAAATTCGATGGTCTCAGATCTGAAGTTAGCCGGGCCATAATAAAGACACATAAAACCATTTCCATAACACAAAAATGGTTTACTATTGATGATGTGGCTGAGGAGCCTACTTAAGCCACCACTTATTCTCAACCCGTGGCTGCGACACGACTGCCAAGTGGTTGCCGGAGCTATGATATGGTCCTCGTCCTCCACACCTTCATAAATCCAATAAAACTAATTACCAAGCAAATCACAAATTTGAGAAATTAGAGCATATGAAGATATTATTATGTATACCTATCTATTCTCTTCTCCAAGAACCGGTGAAGCGAGTTTCTCCTAGCAATTGGGAGTTCTGTATTAACAAAATAAAAAACAGATCAAAAAAGAAAATTTCGTTAGATTTTAATTATTTTCTGAACGCATCTCCAATTTTGTTTTGTTACACAACAACCATACCGCAAGTCATGTGATCCATGGAAACTTCAAAATTGTTGACTTGATTTACATTTTCCTGAAAACTTGGGCACGTAACCGAACGATTACATTGATTAGGGTCGTTGTGAGGCGTAGTAGGAGCTAGTCGTTGATTAAGCTGAGTGTAGATTTTTGATGAAGTCCCTTCATGCGCCGCCAAGAGTAAGATTTGTTCAGCTTTCTCAGATGAGAGATCACTGAGCACGAACACCTTCCCCTCGTAGAACATTGTCACTTGAGCTCTATGACTCTCCTGTCTCATATTTTTATTCGTCCTGAATATAATGACATAGACTAAGTTTCCGTCCAACACAAACATAACACTTATAAGATGATAAAAAAACACAAAGATCAAGCGCACGGATAGTTGTGTCACAAGCAGCGAAGAATGAAAAAAACTCTGACGTGTATTACAAGCGATTAGGTGTGATACCAACAATGGCAAAAAGTATTCTAAAGAGATTCTATCAGTTCTCTTTCTATCAGTTCTTCGAAGTTAAGTGAGGAAAAGCTAACAAACCCGTAATTAGGCAAGGTATAGAGATCTTGTTTGGATGACGGATTGTGGAAACTAAGCTGCTCAGGGAAAAGATCCATTTGTTTATTGTGGAGATTGCAGAGAAGTTGGTAAGAGAGTGTTTGTTTTTGACAAAAATCTGATACTACATATGATTTTGTTACAACCTAATAAAGAGGATCTTAAGAAAGAAAATCTTGTTTTTTTTCCGATTTTTACCAAGTCTTTGTCGATTTTTTCTATAGTTAATTAAGATATGTGGATGAGATTATTGAATTACTGTTATTTTATCCATTTTATATTCTATTTTAATATTGAGACAATAATTTATGTCGTTGTCGTTAAACTCCTCTTTGCTATGCTAGGTATTGAACAATATATGTAATTTTACAAAAGAATTAATAAAATATGTTATATCGTATCTGGCTTTATGCTTATATATATCATATTGTATGTTATTGACAAAGAAAACAATCGGATGAGTTATTCAATCATTTCCAACAAAATCCTTGAAGATAAAAGTAAAATTAAAACTTGAGAATTTTCTCAGCTCGTAGTTTTAATTTTATTATTTTTTTGTTTTAAATTATCAATATAATAGATACAAACATTAGGCACTACAAAATCGAAATAAATAAAAATGATAAACCACATGGAACATCCTAGCTTTTTCTTTGTATTTTGGTCACGGTCATTTTTTTGTATTTTAGTCAAGGAATCGACAGATTTTTCTAAAGCCTACAATTCTGGCTTTTTTTTAAAAGCCACATTCATTTTTTTTTACAGTATAAGTTTTTAAGGTCAAATCTTACAACCCACAGTCTATATCAATCAGAGCTGAGGGAAAATATCCATTTGTTTATTGTTACATGTTGTGGAGATTGCAGAGAAGTTGGTAAGAGAGTGTGTTTTTTTTCGACAAAAATCTGATACTACTTCATTCAACTTTATTATATGGATTTTGTTACAACCTAGTAAAGAGGATCTTAAGAAAAAAAGTCTTCTTTTTACTGAGTCTTTGTCGATTTTTTTCTATAGTTAATTAAGATATGTGGATGAGATTATTGGATTACTGGTATTTTATCCATTTTAGATTTTATTTTAATATTGAGACATTAATTTCTGTCGTTGTCGTTAAACTCCTCTTAACGACAACTCCTCTTTGCTAGGTATTGCCCAATATATGTAATTTACAAAAGAATTAATAAAATATGCATCGTGTGTGGCTTTATGCTTATATCATATTGTATATTATTGACAAAGAAAACTATCAGATGAGTTATTCAATCATTTCCAACAAAATCTTTGAAGATAAAGTAAAATTAAAACTTAAGAATTTTCCCAACTTGTAGTTTAATTTTTTTTTTAATTATGAATATAATAGATACAAACATTAGGCACTACATAATCGAACTAAATAAAAAGGATAAACCACATGGGATATCCTAGAGCTTTTCTATTAGGATGGATAAAAACATGGCAAAACAGTGTTAAAGCATCTCCAATAGGAGTATTTAGAAAAACTCTTAACAACTAAAATAAAGAAAAAAATGAAAATAAGAGAGAGAAAGTCCTTAAAATCCTTAGACCATGTGCAACGGCGTATACACGTTGCGTCTCCAGCCATTTTTTGGCAATTAAATAAAACAAAAACACATAAAAAAAGAGAGACGTCGCCAAATTAGAGACTGGAGAAACGTTTTTGGCGACCACGTGGCGTGTTGTTATTGGAACCAAAAAAATAAGATGGAAGAAAATGCATTCTCTTTTTTTTTACCCGATAACTTTGTTTTTTTTTTGCAGTCTTCGTTCTCTCCGTCGGCGATTGTTCGTCAATTTATCTGGATTCTTCGTCGGCGATTTATCCGGATTCTCGTTGCGTATTGTTTCAGACAGAGGCGTCGATGTCCTTGCAACATCTGCTTAGCGGAATGAAGGATCAATTGAAGCTTCTGTCGGCGAAGGTAAGCAAAGCGTCAAGTTGAAATTGTTTTGATTTTTGTATTTAGATTCTATGTTTGGGATGAAATGGTTTAATAAAAGGGTGTAGATTTATCGGGTTTAGGTTGTGATTGGATATCTATGCCGATTTAGTCTAGGATGATATGGTCTTCGACTTTGGCTTTGATATCGCCTCAATGTGGAATTTTGTTTTTGTTTTGTCTGTTCTTGTATTGAGTTGTAATTCGACAAGATAGACAAGAGGAGAATTCATGCTCGACATAAAACTCCATTGATGTTTCAGTTAATCTCACGATTACATTTGGATCAGTTTTGGTTTGTTTAAGTTTGTCTTCCATCTTTGTATCAGTTTGCATATGTTTAAGTTTGTTTATAGTTTGACACGTTCATTAACTCTGCTTGTTTTGTTTAAGAAATAAGTTCTGAGCATTGGTACTTTATGGTTCCGGTTGTAAGCTAACCTGAACGTTGGTATTAGTTTGTCAAGTTCTTTATATTTGTTTGTTTTCTTTATAGTTGAACTTCATTAACTGTGATTGTCTTATCCATGTCTTGTTTGTGTAGTTGTAGTTCATTAACTGTTGTTTGTATAGGTTCTGTTTGCTAACTCTTATTTATTGTCGCCTTTGTTCTATGCACGACGAGTGAATGTTGCGGAATGACAGGAAGAGGAGAGAAGAAGCACATCTGCATAAAGCTATCCATCTTCACTATCCTGAAAAGGTAAGGTACAATCACTTATTAGGTAGTTGTATTAAATGGGTTTAGGTAGTGTTAGATAATAAATGGAATAAGGGATTAGTTAATGTAGAAGGTAGATATCTGTCTAGTCAAGTCTAAACCCTTGTGATGAATGCTTCTTGTATATGGTTGTGTTTAAGGTAGGCGTAGAATGATGAATGCTTCTTGTTTGTGGTTCTTCATGCTTTTATAAATTCTTCTCTTTTTCGCATTTCTTTCATCTTAGTCAAATTGTCTTCAAAGCTCACAACCTGTTCTCTCTTTCTATTCTCTCTTTCTGTTCTCTCGTTCTCATCACTTTCTATTCATCTTAGTCAAATTCTCTTCAAAGCTCACAACCTGTTCTCTCTTTCTATTCTATCTTTCTGTTCTCTCGTTGTTAACACTTTCTATTCAACCATTATGTCTTCTCGCTTCCCATTTAACAACCCCTCAAACTTTGTTGATCTTTTACAAAGTCAACAAGAGAGTGTAAACCCTTACCCAAATCCATATCCTTCATTCGAAAACCATGCCTTTGGTACCCAAGCTTCCATCGATGAAGAAGAAGAAGTTGGAGTGACGAGCAAGGTGATAAGACGACCTTGGAGCCCTGCGGAAGATACCCTTCTCATCAGCGCGTGGTTAAACACCTCGAAGGACCCGGTTGTAGCAAATGAACAGAAAAATGGAACTTTCTGGAGTCGCATAGCTTTGTATTTCGCAGCGAGTCAAAACGGAGGAGAAGTCCGAGAGGCAGGAGAATGCAAACAAAGATGGCACAAGATTAATGATCTTGTGTGCAAGTTCTGTGAGGCTTATGAGGCTGCAACAAGAGAAAAAACTAGCAGTCAAAACGAGAATGACATTCTCAAAAATGCCCATGCTATTTTCTTCAATATCCATAAGAAAAAATTCAGTATGGAACACGCTTGGAAGGAGCTGAAGAACGATCAGAAATGGTGTGATTTGTCAGCCATTAAAACCAATGCAAGCTGTAAAAGGAGGAGACCCGATGATGGAAATGCAGAGGGGAATGAAGATGGAAACAAGAATGGTGCAGCTAATCAGGGAATGGTCAGACCTCCTGGTGTTAAAGCCGCAAAGGCTAAAGGCAAAAAGGTCGACGTGGTTGAGGCTGTTAATGTGTTCAGCAACATGTGGGGTATGAAAAGAGAAGAACTGGTTTTGAAAAAAGAAACCCAAAAGATTGCTCTTCTTGATTCCCTTATTGCGAAGGGACCTCTTTGTGAAGAAGAAGAAGCTCTGAAGATGCAGCTAATCTCCGAAATGATGCAGAATCAGTGACTTGGAACTTGTTACATGGTCATGTTTGTAACTGTTATGTGTCTGTTAGGTGTCTGTTATTTTTATGATTTTCAAAATCATGTTTGTGTCTGTTATATTTCAGTTTTAGAATTGTCTGTTATGTGTTAGATGTGTTTGTTATGTGTAATGTTCTAATGTTTTTTGGAGATGGTTTAGAAGTAACCTTTATGTGTAATGTTCTAATGTTTGAGGAGAATCTTTATTGACCTGGCTTTTAAACTTATATCTTTGTATTTCAGTGTTCAAAGTGTGTTGTGGAGACATAAAGTGAAAAGATAGTCACGGGTGAAAAATTCAAAGCTTCATCAAAGTAAAGATGCAGCTTACACAAAGAGACAACAACATGTGGGTGAAAAATTCAAAGAGAATTATTGTTCTTTTGGGTCCATATTTGGCTTTGTCTTTGTATTATTGTTCTTTGTATTATTGTCCATCTTTCTAAGAGAAAATGATTCTCCATCTTTCTATATATATGTACGTCGTTTTTAATATACACAATGTCCACAAACTCGGTTTCTCAATACAATCTATACTCTCATCTAATCTATACTCTCATTTTCATTCTCATTCTGCCTTCTCAATTCCAACCTCTCTAAATTACCAAATTCTCGTACTCACTTAAACCAAATTCTGTCATCTCTTCTATTTTCTTATGACTTCTTCTTCCCAAAATCCCTTTGATGAAACTTATGATCAGATTTATGATCAGTTTTACGAAGACACATTCCAAAACTTCATAATTGATTTAGCTGATCAAGCAGAGGTAACCTCATCCAAGAAGAAAAGAGCTTTCATAGAAAGAAACCGAGAGGAAGGCCACATAAGATTGTGGAATGATTACTTCAGCGAAAACGCAATTTACCCCGATCACCTTTTCCGGCGACGTTTTAGGATGAACAAGGCATTGTTTTTGCGTATTGTTCATCGGCTCTCCAACGAAGTCGCTTTCTTTAAACAGAAGCAAGATGCTCGGGGTAGACTTGGTCTATCGGCACTTCAGAAGTGTACAGCCGCAATTCGTCTATTAGCTTATGGCACGGCACTTGATACCGTTGACGAATACCTACGTCTTGGTGCAAATACAGCCCGTTCATGTCTGGAAAATTTTGTTGACGGAATTATAAATCTCTTTGGCGACGAGTACCTCAGAAGACCCACAGCAGACGATCTTCAACGTCTACTTTATATGGGAGAGGAGCGCGGATTTCCCGGGATGATAGGAAGCATTGACTGTATGCACTGGGAGTGGAAGAATTGTCCAACCGCTTGGAAAGGCCAGTATACACGAGGTTCTGGGAAACCCACAATAGTCTTAGAAGCGATCGCTTCATACGATCTCTGGATTTGGCATGCCTTTTTCGGACCGCCAGGTACCCTAAATGATATAAATGTTTTGGATCGGTCACCCGTTTTTGATGACATTATAAATGGTCAAGCTCCGAGAGTTAATTTTTTTGTCAATGGAACGGAGTACAATTTGGCGTACTATCTGACAGATGGTATATATCCCAAATGAGCAGCTTTTGTCCAATCTATACCTAAACCACAAGGTCCAAAAGCATGTTTATTTGCTGAACGCCAAGAATCTGCCCGTAAAGATGTCGAGAGGGCTTTTGAAGTTTTGCAAGCCCGTTTCGCCATTGTCAAAAATCCGGCTTTGTTTTGGGATAAAGAAAAAATTTGAAAGATTATGAGAGCTTGTATCATACTCCACAATATGATAGTTGAAGACGAACGAGAAGGATACCGACACTTTAATGTTCAAGAATTCCAACAAGGAGAAGGAGGCGGAAGTTCTAATGTGGATTACTCGTACTCCACAAACATGGCAACAAATATTATAAATATGATGGATACCCGAAGAAAAATTCAAGCACCAGATGTGCATCACAAATTAAAAGCTGATTTGGTTGAACATATCTGGCAAAAATTTGGTTAAGCTAAAAAATCAATCACAAGTTTAATGTATAATATTTTATGTTCTATTTGTTGTAATGTTTTAGGATTTCTTCTAATGTTGTAATGTAAAATAAAAACTGAAGTTTAATGTAAAATTTATGTTTTTATGTCAAATTGAAGTTTAATAAGAAATATAATGTAAACTTTATTTAAAACAGAAGTTTAAAGTAAAATAAAAACTAGATTTTTTTAAAAAGATTTTTAAGAAACCATTAGGATTTCTCCCATTGGATCATACAAAAATACAAAGTCTTTCTCTTAGGTTTCTACTACTAAAACCTGACATTTTATTAATAAAAAAAGGGATAGAGACTCTAAATGGTCTCTCCTATTGCACATGCTCTTATTTAAGAGCTTCATTTGCTAGAGGCTCTACATGTGTCTTCTTTTGATTGGTTTGATTTTTGTTTTAGAATTAAAATTTTTAATTATATAATTATATTATATTAAAATATTAATATTTATTTGTTTTAGATACTCAAAGTGAGTTTTAACTATTGGAGGTGGTCTGATGTAGATAGCCATTTTAGAATACTAGTAAGAGGGAACAGTTGTTGGAGAAATAAGTGCTAGAATGTTTGACATATATATAAAGTGTTGGAGAAATAAGAGGGAACAGTTGTTGGAGAAATAACTGCTAGAATGTTTTACATATATATAAAGTGTTCTAACTGAGATTTAGAGACAAAATAGAAGAAGAAAATGGAAAATCTAAAAATATTTGTTTTTTTTTCTAATGAACAATTATGCTTTACTCATTGAACAAGGAAGAGACAGAGTATAGTTTTATATTTCCAAAGATCTGAAGATCACTTCAACCTTAAGGAAAAAAATACGTAATTCCTATTTACGTACCCAAGTTTGTTTTTTGGTTGCTTCACAGTCGTTAGTATTATATCTACAGACTCCGAACGTTTCTCCTCTCTCTAGAGTTTGACTGTTCCGATCGCGCTTGCGTTCTAAGCATCTCATCATGTTTTTACTTGTTCTATTCTTCTAACAGTTTCCCTCATGTCTAATCTCTCATCTGGATTACTTGCAATACAAGCTGCCCCAATCCGCAACACTTCCACCATTTGTTGCACTGAATCAGTATTGTTAACTATCTCTGGATCGATAATTCCTTCTTCTTTTTGCTCTGCGATCGAAGATTGCACCCACTCAACTATATCAGTCCCACCTTTACCGTTGTTCAAGTATTGAGAAGGGAATTTCCCTGTCAAGATCTCTAGAATTATGATTCCGAGGCAGTAGACGTCTGATTTATGCGACACCTGTTGGCTCTGCACAAACTCTGGCGTCTTGAAAGCGAACATTGCCTGAGACGCGTTGTTTGGCTGGAGGAACGGTAAGAATGCGTAATCACTGATCAAAGGCTCGTAGGTCTCGCTGAGGAGAACGTTGCTGGATTTTAGGTTACCGTGTGGAAGCTCGTAGGACGCAAACTCTTCGTGCAAGAACTGCATTCCATGCGCCACTCCTTGGATGATTTTCAATCTTGTTGGCCAAGTTAGCTCGGAATGATATATCCCACGATCACCTGTTCATGAGAGAAGATATATACTTAGGTTGAGTGGTTAAACATGTCTCCCCAACTTATCTTTTAAGTGACAAGAAAACTCGGTTTTAGAATACAGATGAATATGCGTAGTGGGTTACCGTGCAAAACGTAAAGCAAGCTGCTTTTAGGCATAAATTCAGAGACGACAAGCTTCTCTTCACGACGGTAGTGATAAGCTAAAGGGGCAAGAACGTTAGGGTGGCGAAGTTTCCCTAGCCGTCTCATCTCAACATCAAAAGGTTCACGAGCAAGTTTATTCATATCCCTAATCCTCTTCACCACAACCGATAATCCATTAGCCATCACCGCCTTGTAAGCTGATCCAAGGCTACCATTGCCTAGCACCTCAGCTGCTGCTTTCATCAGATCGGGTAAACCAAAAGAGCCCTTCTCGCTATTCACCATTATAATGTCACCCATCCCTCCTCCTACACCTCCTCCTCCTCCACCACCTTTCCATTATGAGACGATCCTTTCTGGTAGAACCTCACTTCGCTTCTTGCTCGATTCTGTAGACTTTTTCACGTCGTGGAATTCCGGTATTCTGACTTCACGCATCAAGTCGCGCTAAGACGTTCTTGTCCGAGCATCTTAAACTCGGGATTTCTCTTCTTGTCCCGCTTCTTTATAATTCCACGACATAAGAACATGATAAGAAACGTTATCGCTAACATGATCGCGTTCACCGTGGTCCTGTTCGAGTTGTTCGTTCCACCAAACGGCCGAGACGGCGGCGGCGAGGGTTTACATTCAATGTTGACTGCCTTGCCGCACAAGTTAACGTTCCCTTCCAATCTCATGATGAGATTTTTCCTATCTGAGATGCTCTCCGGGACGCTTCCTTCAAGTTGGTTGTTTGAGAGGTCAAGGATCTTGAGGTTCTTGTTTGTGTCGGTCACTGGAGGTATCTCTCCGGAGAACTTGTTACCTTGCAGGTGAAGCTCCTCGAGATAAGGGAGCTGCATAACGGAGGAAGGGATTCTCCCCACGAATTTGTTATGATCAAGAAACAGCCGCTTGAGCTTTGACATGTCCTTGAAGAAATCGTCAGGGATCTCTCCGGAGAAGCTGTTGTTAGAGAGCAATAGAGATTTTAGGCCGCTGAGTTTGTAGAAATGCGGGAGAGGACCCGAGAGGAGGTTGTTGTCGAGCCTGATGGTCTTTAGGTTTGCTAGAGCCTTTAGATCGTCGACGTTGATGGTTCCTGAGAGACCGAGCCGTGTGACGTGAATGCCTGAGACTGTCAGACCCTTTTGGCAATAGATCCCGAACCATTTTCCACCGCAAGGATCTGTTCCTATTCTCCATGAATTTAGGTCCCCTTTGGTTATGTTCACCGAGTTCTTGAACCGCACAAGCGGTTCAGACTCGCTTACGTGCTGCAAAGAAGGGGAAATTGAGAAACATAGGAGGAGGAGGATGGGGAAGAAGCCTGGAGACAGAACAGCAGCCATGGATTGAGGTGAAGAGAAGCTGCTGTTCTTTTTCTTGTTCGTAATTTTATGTATAAAAACAAGGACAATGATGTTGTTGTTGATGATGATGATGATGATGTTTGGTTCGTTGAGAGATGCAGTTTTGTTTAGATTTTGTTTGTTTTTCCAAAGTTTGGACATTGTTTGTTTGTGAGGGTTGAGAAGGGAAGGGTAACATTTTTTTGTTGTTTTTGATTGAATTAGCTGTCAAAGTTTAGACATTTCTTGCCAAAAATAGCTTCTTTTGTGTTCCCTGTTTCAACTTTTATAGAACCTGTTTGTTTGTTACTGAGAGATTAGAGAATTTTTTGGGATTTTCTCACGACCATGTTTTGTTTCTTTTCGTTTCAAGGTTTCACCCTCGTCTCTCCTTAATCGTAGCGGTTTTCTTTCTTCTATAAGTAAGAGTTTGCATTTGATTACAAGATTTTTCAAACAAATAGGTTTCTTCAATTACCTAACTCAAAAAGCTCACAAACAGTGTCAACATTTTGTGGGTTCTAACTCGATTTCACTCGAAATTCGAGTGCATGATAAGTACTACATTGACAATCCGCACATTAGCGGAGACAGATTTGCAGAACACATGAACATTTCCAAATTAACTCAAGGCGAGAGAAACAGATTTGCAGAACAAGGAATTCTCAAAAAAAATTGTTAATCGACTCAAAGACAAAGTTAAAGAGTTTATAATTAGTTCCGTAAATATGGTCGGAACCAAGCCCCAGTATATAATAATATATTTTTAAATTTGATTTCTAACTTTTACATACAAATTGAGTGACGTAGGCCAATGTTCCTTTACGTCTTCAGTAGGCACGCACGGCCCTATTTGGCTCAAGCCCTTTCTCTGAACTTTTCTGCTGATGATGTAACTTGAAAAACTTACATCATTGCGAGCAGGATTTCATTCCAGGTATCAGGAACACCGGGCAAGCACCAATGGAGGCAATCCTGAACTCCCCGTGAAGCCGAGATACTGAACCGTGATATGTGACCTTCGTCTCTAATATGAGATAAAGCTGTTATGTCCAAAAGCTTAACCCCTGTGCCTTTCACTGCATGACCCGCACTGAAATCGCTCGACTCCTCTTGCAAAACTTCTTTCCCGATAGACATCGGAGTTGTGTTATTGCAGCTCCCTCCGGTGTTCCATTCACCGCCCACGAAATGCCTCGGCGAGAGGCTCCTGTAGAATGCCTTAAGACCGGGATGGAGAGGGAGCTGCGAGCTCACCCAACTAACCGTGCTGTGGATTGTGAAGTTCTTGGCATTCCCAAGAGCAGCTAGCTTCTTGTTAGTATTGGGAACGCCGTTTACATGCATCACCCATCTGTTACCGTTGAGCTTCCCTCGGTTCCAATGGTGGCCCGTGTTCATTACCAACACGCTGATCTTATGAAGGTATTTGCGTAAAAACGCTGGTGGGCGATCCAGATGCATAGCGTGTTCGGTTGCGGGGTCAGAGATGTTGAGTGGTTCTATGTCGCAGAGTGTAGATGACCAATGGTATAGGACCGTTGTGTTGGTTTCTGGGAATCTGTAAGCCCATCCACCAGGACGAGCTCTACCTTCGGGAGTTATGAACCCAAATTCTGGTCCCACGTCACGGACATCGAGCCTCTCTTTGCCTCCAGTGATCATACACATCATAGACTGAAACTGTTGTCTTCCCAATGAGTCTCCAACAAAGGCTAGGGTTTTGTTCCGCATCCTGAGGGCATTTGATAAAAAGAGCCATGCACTGTTACTAAGGACTTGATGGGAACACTTGGCTACATCTATGGATACATGGTTTTAATACATGTATAAGATGGAATGAAATACATAAAATTTGTTTACCTTCTCAAGAACTTGGAACCCTCAAAGTCTTCCATAGAGCAATCTTTAGGTTGCCATCTTAACCTTTCAAAGGCGAAGTCTGTACGTTGCATCAACCTGCACGCCCACATCGAAGCAAGCCACTGTTTGCACTGAGATCCCGAATACAACGGACGGTGATTGTCCACAACCCATTTCCCTTTCGCGTAATTGCAAGCTGGGAAAAAAATTATATTTAACAAACTGTTATTTCACATAAAACGGAATCATACTGAGACAACATCAATACGGTGTAGAGATTTAAAACTAATAGTTTTACCAAAATGTAAATAGAATAGTCATGCCCAATTTCAGAATAATGAACTATCCTAAGATACTTTCACGCATCATAAAACCAAGGATCTATATAACGCGACTACCTTGATTCGTATTGCGAGGTGTTGATGTACTACCATCATCTTCCTTGGCTGGTAAAGTCCTCTCTTCATCTGTTGCAAGACTTTTACTCTCTGGATTTGAATTAGTCTCTTTGATATGTGTTTTCTTTGTAGCTTCGGTCTCACCAATAGCAACCTCATGTTTCACCTGTTCTAATTTCTTTTCTTCGCTAGTTGGTGTCCTCCGGTAGTTTGGCTCACTTACAGTAACTTCACGTTCCACTGGTTCTAGTCTATTTTCTTCAGTAGTTAGTGTCTTCCCTTGATTTTTCTCACCTACAGTAACTTCTTTCACTCGTTTCCCTTCTTCTTCTGTATCTCTATTATCGGTTAAATTCTCTTCGCTTTCCTCTGTTATAGAAAAAGCCAGGAAAAGAAATAAATTTATGCCAAGCTTATTTTCCTAGAATTCAGAACTTTTGAGCAGATTACAATAGGCAGATTACAATAGGCATGAAAGAGCTACTGTAAATGTAATGCATTACCTTTGTTTACAAACGGAGTAGCTGATGAGTAGCTGTCTTTAGTTACAAACGTATTCAGTGCAGTAGGTATTCTCTCAACCTTTTCTTCTACAAATGACACAAAACTAGGTCAGATATTCATATACCCCAGGATCTAACTGTACTATTAGTTTTAAGAGCATCTACAGTAATTTATGAAACAGTTACAGGAGAAACTACAAGTGCAAAAGAAAAAAATATAGATACTTTTGGCCAAAGAGATTTTTAGATCGGTGAAACATAAACAGGGGAAACTAGAAGTAAAACCATCACTCTCAGGCAGCTTTACAAAATCAATTAAGCTTTAAACAAAGTTCATATAGTATTACAAAATGTGCTAGAAAGGGAGTTAAGTGCCATAGTTAAACCTGTTTCCAGCTTTAGAAAGTGGCTTTCAGGTGGAAGAAAGGCCGAGGTTGGAGTTCTATCCCATGTCCATATGACTACGGTTGCACAAACAAGCACAACAAGCACAACAGAGATATCCCTAGCCCTCCGTCTAAGGGCTCCTCTTTTCATCCTATATACAAATTCCGATATATAAAGGTGTAAGATTTCATTCCGTCACACCTAATAAGAAATTACTAAACGATAGAAAGAAAGATGATATAAACTAAGGGGGCAGCCTTCGATTCTTCTAAACAGATAAGAACACATCACTCAGCAAAATAGCTGACTTATCAGCTTAGACTACTAAGTTACATACACATGTCAGCAAAAATCTACAATCAACTAGGAGATTTCTACCTATTTCTATGGAGGATCATGCTTCTTGGCGTTCCAGAGAAACTTTCGTTCATACTAGATCAAGTCATATGCCAGGTAGCTCGATGTTCAGTGTGATCCTCTCAAATCAGTTAGTGGACCACAGATATCTCATTTAGAAGTAGATGCCTTGCCAAATCAAATAAGATAATTGGTGTTTAGCACGGCCAAATAGCAAAAAAACAAAATTGAATCCAACCCTTTCATAATCATCGTTGTTGACAAAAGAAAAACAGTATCCTACACACTGATTCCAACACAAGAGACATCAAGCCAGGTTTTTGGTAAAATAGAAGCATTGAATAAGACCCAAATGTGCATATGGACTGAAAAGTTTTCATTTAAGAGTCAAAATGATTGGTAATTCTCTACACAATTAGCTAAATTAGCATCTCCCACCTACCAAGACAATGTTCCATTAGAACTAAAACTGGTAAAAACAAACAAAAACACGCATTACTTGAATTGATTAATTCCATAAGTCAAATCAAAGTTACAGAAAATGCTAGATCCCGATCCCAAGCCTAATCTAATCATAAAGCAAGTAAACACATCTCATCGATAGTACTAATTACGGAAAGTCTCATTAACACACCCAACAATCGACAACGAAACAAGAGGAAACTTTTATATTTTCTGCTACGATAAAAGGAACAGTTACGAGGGCGAAATAAACAACAAGTAGATCGGATCGAAAAGATAAAGCTGTAGAGCAAAAAAAAGGATTGAGAAATATACCTGGAATCAGAGATTAGCAGATCAGAAAACAAAATCTCCTCGTCAATCAATTCAAAAGAAGATAAATTGTTTTGTAGGAAAGTGAATCAAGGATTCGGATGATAAAATCACTCTCTATTTTGACTCGCTTGATATCGGCGATGAATGATGAAACCCGATTAACCGGAGACGCCGTACGGAGAGGCGTGTTCAGAGGAAATATACGTTCTGAGAAATCGAGAATAACAAATTCAAATAAATTTCGTAGAGAGGAAAAAAAAAAGAAGCTTTCTTCGAATTTGACGACCTGTCGGCCGTGGAATCCTATTTTCAAAGAGTCTCTTTTTGTGTAATTTGCTTGAATCTTGGGTCGCCCTTACATTTTGTTACGAATCCAAAATTAAAATAATGCACCGAAAATGTCATCAAAGTGTAATGTATTCACAAAAATGCATTTAGACTTCATTACTAACTTCGTTTAATCTTAGCCTCTAGAAAATCAATCATTAGCTAACTTCTAATTATGGTCATCCATTCCATACTCCAAAAAATCCTGTTTAAACACCTATAATCAAATCATCAACTAACTTTTTCCGATTCATTTTAGTTTTGATACAAATACGATATGATTCTGTTAACAAGTAATATGATTTAATTTTAAATTAAGCACCGCTCAAATGGCCCAACGAGGCCCAAATAACACTTTTGAAGCTTCCCGGGGATTTTAAAGATTATTCTCGCTTATTTCTAAATTATCAGGAATAGCACTAAATTTCACGAATACACCTAAAAACACACAAAATCATAAAATCCACTTAAAATTTCTTAACATCATTTTTGTTCTAATATGTCATATTACAATTCAAGTGTAGACTTTCTTCTTCTCCCCTTTATATTTTAGTGCACAATCTTTCATTTTTTTTTTTGTAAAGTAAGAATAAAACTTAAAATATCTATATTATTTGAGAACTTCCATCAAACTCTTCATTCTTGTAATACTTTTTGTTGTAACTTTATTCGGTCATAATATTCACTTCCATAGTTCAAATCTCAACAGTTAGCAAATAATCAACTCGAATTTTTTTTTATTAACTCGAACTTAATTGTTGATCCATTGGTTTATTCGCATATAATCTTGGTAAAAGTTTTTTTTTTTTTTTTTTGCTTAAGAATCTTGCTAAAAAGTTCTTTACTGAAAAACCTGCTCACTCCAGGATTTGTTTACACTTAGATGATCTGGAAATCACATGGTCTGTTACAAAAAAAATCACAAATTGCCGCAATTAGGCAAAGAACAAAAAAAAAGAAGGAAATGTGTTTAACGGTCGAGATTAGAAGGAAATTCATAACAGTAATAAGTGGGTGTTCTTATCATCCAATGCATGTTAAAGACAAAACCATGCCAGCTGTAACTCGATTTGCTTTCGTTGATACCTAATTACACGTAATTGACATTTTTTACGTTTTGTATTAATGTATCATAGTGTAAATCTATAACTAAACCTAGTCGTACTGCTCCGTTGTGTTGTATTTGTTGTACCAACACATATAGAGAAACACATGGGAGAGCGATCGATAGAGACAAAAAACATGTTGCTTCTTTAAGTAAACGATTCTAAAACGTAACTACTTATGATTGGTTACCATCTTGCTAGCCTCTTTAAGAAAACGATTCAAAAACGTAATTAACTATGAATCAAATGATTGATTATTACATCAACTATATGTATCTTTTTCTTTTGAGTTATGATGCTAAGTTGAATCTGCATGCCTATCTATCCAATTTACTCTTTATACCATCTCGAAAATGTAAAACATCAATAGAGATACTGGGAATGACTATATTGCAATTAGCATAGCGTATCACAAGTACTTTTGCAAAATAAATCTCCAGTAAATACAAACTTTCTGATTATCATAAGAGAAACCAGCTGTACATACACAATTAATTTCTTTATATGATTCGGACAATCAGATGTCAGTCATAATACTTAACTCATTATTAGCAATTTGGCATCAAGGGAATAATATTTTGTAGACTTGCGTACTAATTGAGATTACAAGTAGTAATCTTCCAAGGAAAACTCTGCGTCCAATACCAAATTTTGTAAGTCAGACTCCACTCAACTAAAAAGGCTCAGCAATCAGTATCAATAATCCTAGGATAATAGTTAGTCGTAGGAAGGAAAATTATAAAGCAAACATATTTACTATAAAATAAAGATAATAAAAGAAAGGCATTTACTAAAGTGATAAGAACAAAAGAGTTTCGGTAAAGATGAGAAGAGAGAACGAATGGAAGACGAAACTGAGAGATTTCTAAGTAGGCCAAGGACAAATATCGCTTTCTAAGCAGAAAGCTGCAGTACTTTTTTAAGCCTCTATATCACGTTCCTCAAATTTTAGGTAAATTTAAATTCCACAATGATGTAAAATAATCCTTTGAAATGTTGGTACGATTATTTATCATATAAGTGTTCACATATCACTCGTTGAATATTTGGTCCCAGCAATAGCATGTGATGGTAGTATAAATAGTACATCGTAAATATGGCTAACTATTTTAAAATTTAAAGGGTGTTATAGATTCTTGCCACACCACTAGCCACCATCGATTGCCGTGAGATAGCATCTCCGTATAAACGGTGGCTGGAGACTTAGGCTTCCATTATTTCACACGTAATATTTGCGTTTACATAAGACAATTTACATTTTATTTCGCATAAAATATTTAAGTTTTGGGTTAATTTAGAAAAAACATACACTAGTTTAAACAACCAATCGAGATCTTATTAATTAGCCCTCTATGAATTTATCGATGTGCTTCCATAGTTAGATTGATATTTCATCTACAGACAATGAAAGATGAAGATTTTTTTTTTTTAAATATTGCTCTCAATATATAGGATGTTAACAAAAGACATACTTGCCAGTGGAGTATTGCTTCAAAGACTAGGTACCTGACTACCTTCTCTGCTTCTAAGTTATTCCCAATAGAAAAACATGGACCACCTCTTCTTCTTTTTTTTTTTGGATCGGTTAACATTCACATCGATCCATCGACGGATAACCTCAATTTTAGGTCCACATTTCATCATTCTCGATTTATGCATATGGTTTCAAGCAACCATCTATTGCCATAATACTGTATAGTTTGATGAAGTAAGTCAAGTCATTTTGGTAGTAACAAATTATACTCCTTCGATCGACTCACAATGATCACCTGTTGCCACAACAAGTTGCACTATTTGCTCATTCATATTGATTCCATATTAATAGAATGATTTTACCTTAGTATTGTCTCTCTCTTAGCTCATATATAATACATTTAAGATCAAATCCCTCTGTTTATTTTTCTTGGTAATTTTTTTCTATAGCTAACCACATACGCGCGCGCACACACACACAAAGACTGAATCTGGACTAGTTATGCGCAACTTTATGGAGATTTGTTTTTATAATTGAGTAATCATAGTCGATGTCTAATTTTGAAACATGAGTTTTTGCTATTTAAAGTGTTTACAATTGTATATGTGGAATTTACATTATATAGGATATGAAATTTCTAGTCTAGATAGCCGGCAAGCACACATCATGCAATGGAATTACTACGGCTACTTATTATTTACCATTCGAGAGATATTGTAAATCTACAATTACTAGATTTATCCAAAAATATAATATGTTATTGGCAAAAAAACTCTCAGAAAAAGACTGAGTTTTGAACTTTAGATAACAATTTTTTTTAATAAAAACTATTCATTCGCAAAAAAAAAATTAAATAAATGAATACTAGACAAAAAGATATTCACCTTATAGTGTTCATCAGAATTTACCCGAAAATCATAACACTCTCATGTTATGTCGTGCGTGGAATCATTAATCATTTTTTTACTGTAACACCATATCATTACAAAAGATAGTTAGTAAAGAAGAAACGAGTAATTATATTATTCAAGGAAAAATTGAACATACACAAGTTTGTTCGATGTACAAGTTTAGATTAGTTTTCATAGGAGGAAAATCAAAAATGGAATATCTTGAACCGCAAGATTGAATAATTAATAGTATGAATTTATAACTTACTCAAAAACGAAATTCAATAATTATCCATCCACACCCACATGCAAAATTTAAGAAACAAACAAAACAATTCTCGCCACATTATCTCACTCACATGAATCCAAATCCTCCTCCAACCTCACAATATTTAACATACACATAATTTTTTTCTCAAATTAAAAAAAAAAAAAAAAAACAGAGACATATGTCTCCATGTATATCTATATAAACATCCAAGAAAGACTACCTGTATATGAATGATATAACCTTAAATTCAGAAAAGCCAGAGAGAGTCTACTAACAAAAAAAGAATTTTATTAGTCTCTCAATCTGATCATTTTTTTTCCAAAATAAACAATATGATGTCCTCATCATCATCATCACCAGCCACCGATACTAACACTAAGCCGTCGTCTTCGTCGTCGTTGCCGGCAGTTGAGTATGTCACGTGCGACACGTGCGGTTTCGCCGAGGAGTGCACGCCGACTTACATCCACCGCGTCAAGGAACGGTACAAGGGACATTGGCTTTGTGGGCTTTGCGCGGAGGCGGTGAAAGACGAGGTGGTTCGATCTCCGACTCGAATCTCCGTCGAGGAAGCTCTCCGCCGCCACACGACGTTCTGCCACCGGTTCCGTTCTTGGAGTCCCGACGAGGAAGAAGATCCTATTTCAGTCATTGGTAGGATTCTACGGCGGAGCCTCGACGGCTCTCCACAGAGAACCACCACGAGGACGAGCTCGAGCGGGGCTTTGCCGGGGATCGACGGCGTAGAGTCACGACGGTCCCTTCTCCGATCTGGGAGCTGTTTCCCGTCTCTCTCTGCTTGATTACTCTGTTTACTGTGTTAGTTGTAATGTATTTTTTTTTCTTTTAATTTTTGTTGAAGTTTATTATTTGTACTTATATTACATTCTAGAAGAGAGGAAATGGTTGGAATCCGAGGATGTAATTTCCTATGACGTTAGCCTTTCTTCGTAAGTGAGTTAATAAAATGGTTAATGAGCAAAGCTCATCTTCTGTGATCTTAAGATTTGCAGTGCTTAATTCTTTATCTTTTTCTATTTAATTTACAGTGCTTATTAAATGTAAGCACACCAATAATAGTGCAATATGTAGTACAAGTAATTTATGAGTTTTTACCCAATACGTTGCTATAAGAAGAAAAAATGTAAAACAAGTACTGTACCTATAGCATTGGTGTTAATATTTAAAGTTTTTCTATAGTTGAAACTCGTTAGAATGTAGTATGTTGTTAAAAAACGTTGGTCTAAACTGATAAAAAGGAACTTTTATGTAATACAGGGATATGTCGTTTGTTTGTATCATACTGTTATGTTGATGTAATTAGTTGTGAGACAAAGCTTATTTTAGATATATATATTACTAATCCGTATATTTATTGACTTAAATATCAAGAAACACTCTTTGAATTTGCTCATTCACAGTTGTCAAAAGAGTGTGTTTCAATTTTATCAATGCATCATTGTGTTACAGAGTCCAAGATCGCATAATTATTTCTGCAAGCATGTTTTTCTTTAAAGAGTTGAATTGAGTTAATTCCATAACTAAATTTTAATGTGGAAAGTGTATCAGTAGAGCTCTAAAACAACCTTATTTTGCAATGAGTTTTCCCACCAAACAACTTGTGGATTGTAAAAACAATCTCTAGTGTACTATAATAATACGTATAGTTTCATCAGTCAATTTATATTTATCAATATTCATTGAAACTATGTGTGCTATATGCTTCAGTTATCATTAAATCATATATATGCGCCACAGAATCATTAGACAGTTGAAGAGATCAGTAGACTACAGACCATATAAGGCAATGGCCTATGCCACATAAACTCATATACTAAGTGTAATGTCTTCACCAGAGTTCGTGTCATGATGCATTTTATATCTACTATCTACTTAATTAGTCCTAAGAACTGACTAAAATCTAGTCTTTTAGATCCAGTTAAAAAGTGTATGCATGTATACATCCGTATAAACATATATGCATGAATGTATAAGTCATATGCGACTGCATGCATAGCACATGCGGGATTTTCCAGCTTTGGTATGATAAGGAGACACAAGTGTATATTTCACATCACTTCCCTATTTGTGTGGCGCAATGGGTCCTTCCTCCTCCTCACTTTGTTGCCCACTTGTCCTATACACTCTAACTTGGCATTTTGTTTTCTATTTGCTTCTTAATTGGTTTTAATAAAAAGACAATTCCATGTTTTTTGTTTTTGTTTTTGTGTTCTTAATTTTCTGGTCATGTTTCGTTGTTTGGGTTAAAAATATCTCGAGCCCCTTTCACGAATATCTTTGAGTATACCCACCAAGATTTGTACCTACCTATTCATAAATTATTGCGTGCCTTAATTAACTAATTTAAGTATGTGACGATCAAACTATGATTTGATGAACTTTTACTTACACCATGTTTGTTAGTGGAAGACGAAGATCGATCGGATTTTTAGGGTATCCGAAATTGTTGGATCTGAGGTATAATTATCGGGATTCTGAGTTTTTTAGATCTATGGTCTTCGAACTTTAAAGAAATTAGGATATCCACGATATGGATGTTCGAGCCATAGAGTCATTTCTGATGTATCCATATTATTAGTATACAAAATCCATATTCTAATCTTTTAGATATCTAAATTTTTGAAAACGGATTAGATCATTAGACCCACAATCGGATCTATTATCTTGATAATTTTTGCAGCTCTGAATAAATGCTTTGGAATGATATATACAATAATGATAACAAATTGTAAGAACGCAAATACACTGTCATTGTCATAGACTCGTAAACTTTGATGAGAATTGAGAACTAACGTGAACGTGACCTGTTATGGACTATAATCATATTGGTAAGCCCATTGGGCAATAACTTTGATGAGAATTGAGAACTTATCTTGTAAACAAACCGCTTCCAACAACTTTCTCTCTGTAATCATTTCTCATCGTCGTCTTCTTCCTCTTCTTCTCTCACACACACGATCAAAGCTCAACCCAGAAAACCTCGCAAAGATGATGCACATGACCTTTTATTGGGGTATAAAAGCTACAATTCTCTTTGATTTCTGGAAAACAGATTCATGGCTCAGTTACATCCTCACCTTGCTCGCCTGCTTCGTCTTCGCCGCCTTCTACCAGTACCTTGAGAATCGCCGCATCCAATTCAAATCCCTTTCCTCCACCCGCCATCCTCCTCCGCCTCGCTCCGGCGTATCCGCGCCTCTTATTCCCAAATCGGGCACCAGATCCGCCGCTAAAGCTGCGTCGGTGCTGCTTTTCGGCGTCAACGCGGCGATCGGTTACTTGATGATGCTTGCGGCTATGTCCTTCAACGGAGGCGTTTTCATCGCTATCGTCGTCGGGTTAACCGTCGGGTACTCTGTTTTCAGATCTGACGACGGCGGAGCTGATGCGGCGGCGGAGAATCCATGCGCATGTGCTTGATTGACATCGAAGGTGGATTTCAATTTCAAAGGTGTGTTTGTTGCTTGCAAATCGGTTTACAGTTTGTTGTTGTGTATCTATGACAAGTGTTGATTTCTGTATAATTAGGTTTTCCTTCGCCGTAAACGGATTATAGATCTAAATGCGTTTCTGGGTTTGACGATAATGTAAACTATCTATAATGGAATCACCGAAAGTTGCAACTTTGATCGTTTAAATATTATGATTGAGCTTTAAAATCCCAGATTTAGCTCTTGCTTTGTTCTGGGAATTATACGCAAAGTTGATAACTTGCAATTACATTTTATGTATTGAATATCGATCAACAGATAGTGGATTCGCCATGAATATAGTCGAGTATCAAAGCTTGATCCACCTTTGCTTTGACTATTATATGATAAATAATCCTTCTTGTTTTCCTCCATGTCGTTCTTTATTCTTACCTGTTTCCATCTATTGTTATTAATCATAGATTAGTCTCCTTCAATTATAATCTCTACGACTTTTGCAACCAAGAAACTTGAACACCATTTCTCTTGGAATTATGCCACACCAATAATAACAAAAACAAAAAAAAAACTATTTATGAAACCCACTCAGCCCAAAGTTATATCCATAAATAAATGTCATTTCTTAACATATTTATATCCATAAATAAATGTCATTATAATTTTGAAACCCAAAGTTTTCACTAATTTTCGGGCTTTTTACTAAAACTAGTTATAAAACCCACTCAGCCCAAAGTTGTAGTACGTGTGCGAGATCCTTGACGAGGCCCATTGCATCACAATGTCGGCAATGGGTCCCTATATATATATATATATATATGTATGTAGGTTTTAGTTGGGGCTTGAAGAAGAGATTTGTCTGACCATGATAAGTTTTGCAAGCACGGAGGAGCTAAGATGTCGGATTTCAGACGAAGATATCGTGGAGTGTTATCTCCGGCCAAAGGTAATGGGGGAAGCAACTGCGATGCCGAGATTCATTGTGGAGGTTGGGGAGGAGTTGTACACTCGAGAGCCATGGCTGCTTCCGCAACAAACAGATCCCATCCTTAACCCTCGCGAGTGGTTCTACTTGGGCCCGAAATGGGTTCGACCGTTCCAAGGAGTCTACTTTGACGGATCGTGGGATGCCATAGAAGGCTTCTTCGTGATCCTGTCCAAGGAGACTGGTGAAAAAATCGGGGTAACGAGGAGATACAGATTGTACTGTAGGAACAAGAACGACGACAAAGGTCTTATGTTGCCGAGCGAGTGGTTCATGCGAGAATACCTTCTCTATCATCCCAAATTCCATAGCCATGCTCTCTGCAAGGTTACTTATAACCGACCACGTCCTCGTCGGTCAATGTGATCCCTCTCTTTGCTTATTTGCCTTATTTCGAGCCTTATTTAGTTATCGTCCACCCAAACCCAAAACCAAACCAGTCTTTGTAATAAACTGCTTTATATGCTTCCCTTGAATTGTCTTGTGTGCGATTGGTCTATTATCCTTTTCTGAATTGTGTTGTGTTGAATTGTGCCAACAGTTAAAAAATCGCCCTAATTATCTTGAATTATGTTGAATTCTACAGCTAAATCGCCCAATTCCAAGGCATTCACTGAATGTCTAAGCTTTCAAACCGTACTTGACAAGCAGCATAACTATCCAAGGCTAGGCAACACTTGAATTCTCTTGCATTTTATATTTCTTGTTCATATTGCTCGGTTCGTCTAGACAGTTTTATCCAAGAGTCTTAACGATGTTGATGCCAGTATTCATTCCTCAAGCTTGGTCACTATTTCCTGCTTATGTGTCAGAATGTTTTTCCGATGTGCAGTTTCCACCAGTAACGTATGCCAAAGAAATCTCTTAGCGTCTCTGCCTGAATAATTGGCATTTCTATGTGTTGGTGTGTGCATAGCTTACGCCATATAGTATCCATATGCGCAGAGCCTCTGATCCAGATGCTAATTGACATGAGATCATTTAGGTTTTAGTTCCAGACACAAACAAAGATGCTTAAAATGTCATTTTGGTTAGGTAGCTTACTAATCAGGCTTGTACATGTGGCATGTCAGAGGTGTCCAGCATCATTCTAACTCAAACCAACCCGTTTCCCAATTGGTTGAGTGTTAAATGAGGTTGATGCCAAAAGAATGTTTCATTTAAATTCCTCAATAAACTAAAAAGATCCAAGAACAAACATTAGAAGACATATCAAACAATAAAATACCCCTCCAAAATTTGAAGATCATGAATCATATACAAAAAACAATTAACTCGGAAGGTCTCAGTATATGAAATGACCCAACAAACAAAGAGAGCAAACAACTTTTGGATTAGTATCAATCAAGTTTCGTAACATTCTTTGGATCAGAGGAGGTTCCATGGAGAGAACCGATGGCGCTGTATGATTTTGACGAGGACGAATGTGTTCGCAGCCAAAAACACCAAACTCGCCACCCATAGCTGTAAAAAGACGTTAAAGCCTTTGAACTCAAACATGTATCCCCATAAGAGCCAATGTGTCTGAGCTCCGATCCACATGATGATGCATAACAAGCATTCCCATTTCAGCTTCATATGGCTCCATGGTAGAATCAGAGGTAGCAGGCAATAGAACCACACAAAGTACTGCGCGGTTATCACCTAAGAGGCAAATGGACCGATAAAACATTAGAACAAAACCAGAAGAATGGTCTTAACTCACTGAGGATTACATAAGAAAATGAACAATCCAAGACCTTTTTGGATACAAACGAGAATAGAGTGATGCATTTTATATACCTTATTGAAAGCCACGAGCGCAACGGTTTGGGGAAAGATGCAGAAAACTAGGTCCTGAGAGAAGCAGAAGACTAGAGAAAACTGTACTGTGAACTGAGGTAAAAACGAGATAAGCTTTTCCACAGCTGAAAACTGGCGCTCATAGTGAAGATATATGTGGTAGAAGTAGATGGAGAAGTTGTGCCTTGGATCCGTACGAGTGAGGTGATATAAGAGAGCCTCGTGCAGGAACTCGTGTCCGTAAAAATAGGAGGAAACAACATTGCAAGCTAGAAACACGCCCCCTGATATCAAAGCAAACATGATTCTCTCCCTAGAAAATAAACTTTTTAACATGGTCATGAGGTTGAGGTGAAATGCTTTCTTCTCTGTGTTGCCAGCAGGTGTCTTTCCCTGACCGGTATTCCAATCCTCAAGAATGGGTTTTTGACCTGATCTAAATACCTGGGGATCGAGAACCAGGATGATTGGTTACGCATAGATAATAGGATAGACCCTGAAATACACAACAAGCCCATACCAAAATGCAGCTTGTGACAAATTACCTACACAGCAAAAATATGTTGTCGTTGTTGTTGTTGTGTATATCTAAACTGAGTTGGTTTAAATTAGTTTTTTGGAACTCAATTCAGGGTACCAAAGCATAAAAAAGCTGCAAACTTGATAGATGTGTACCTTTCATTACGATGCATAATATCATGGCACAAACGATGGGTTCACAATTCCCTCTGGGATCGAGGAATGAAATTCCATTCAAGGATTAGCATTTATGCATCACTATCAAATCACCTTATTGATATATCACAATCACCTTTTTAAGTGATATATCAATATGTTTATCTTCTACGATCGTTTTATTAGTATATCAATAAAACGCGGCCAACTACGTCCCAGTATCAAATCAAACAATGTGCGATCTAGGACAGTCAGTCAGTCACTGAGGGATTAAAACACCCAGGCTGGAACAATGTAATGCATGAAGAAGTGGACAATTGCAAGGAAACAAATACATTCTCTTTGGTTCCATATAGACCAGGAATGCATTTCTTAGGAACCAAAAGTGGGTGTTTAGGATAACTGAAATTTCTTCTTGGTGTGGATGATATGGATGACCCTGATCTTGCACATCTGTCTAAATAGAGAAAGGTTTCTTTAGGTGTCTGTGTTTGTTTTGTATCAAGCTTTCAAAGTTTTAGTTTTCTTTTGATTACGCATACTTAAGCTTGTGTTTTAAAATTTCGTCTATAAATCTAGCAGCCAATTGACATATGATTGTCTGCCTTTAGATAAAGTAAAAATTTTAAAAAATCCTAAACTCAGTTGTCTTGGTGGTTCAAATTCACACAAAATGTTTGTAGCCGTCCTTTGACCTATCGTTGCTTGTAAAGCCAAGTTAGCCAACCAACACTCAAATCATTATAAACGACGATCTGAAAACCAACCCCATGTAAGATACTCTATGCTTTTCTTCTCATATAAATTTCAGTATAGTAATAATATTCAATATTCATATGATATATATCCTCAATCGCTAATTTTTATTTTACAGCCCTCAATGTCTAATTAGCGTCTAGGACGGGTCTAATGCTTAATCATTGTCTTTGGAACAAACTTTTCTTCGGAGTTTTTGTGACCATTTTGTAGAACGATTTGGCATGAGTTTTTCCGTAAAAAAATTGTGGCTAAGATCACATAAATAGTCCATGTTAACCGTAGATGTATTGACCGAATGGTCACGAAAGTAGTTTTGTCACAATTCAATGTTGTGACTATTTGCACTTACTTATCAACCGTAAATAAAGGCAAAATAGTCCATGATTTATGCACTTAGTTATATATAAACCCGTGGCTATTCACACATGTCTTTATAGTGAATCATCACTAGGGTCCTTCTTCCAGTGGCCGGGCTCTAGTGAGAGGCTCTCCTTGTTCTTAACGAACCGTATTGTCAAATCGATGTGAAGATGAATATTTTAGTGGCGTGACAATTATTATGCAAGTTATTTAGTAACTCATGCGGCACGAGCCATGCCCATATCAACTTTACTGTATGTAGTTTCAATATTTCATTAAACTCGAGTTAAAATATTGTATTTCAAAGCTTCATTCCATCATCCAATTAATTACCTCTGCTTTGATCTAACCAGTGAACTTTAAAATATTTTATATTTCCACCACAAATTTAAATCTTGAATAAAATACCCTATACTTTTTTTATTGGCCATTATCAAATATAAGAGAGAAACTAGACTCGATCTTCTATATATATCCTAACAACATTGAAGATGATCCTTTCACATCAAAGATCAAACACCCAAAATAAAAAAATATTTAGAAATGGAAAAAAAGCCAAAGATGTAACAAAGACACAAACACCAACATTGGCTTTTGCCTTCTTCCTTCTGAACTCATACAAAACATTTTATTCCATCTTTGTATACCTGAGATCATCAGAATGAAACTACTCAATAAGTTTGTTCTAACCACAATCTCTGACCAAAGTTTCATTCGACAACTCAACGACGGATCACAGAGAGACACATGGATCTTCGTCTACACGAGGCGTTGGCGTCGAGACAACGGTGTGCTCCACGGATTCTCCGACCGATCTGTACGGTGGTTTAAGATTCCGGTGGCTGAAATGTTGACCGGAGAGATTTTCCCCGGCGAAGATTTATATTTACTAACAGCTAGCGGTAACTTTCTTCTCTTTGCTTCTAATACTCATAGTGGAATCATAGCCGTTGATTTGGTGGACAAGAGCGTTAGAAGAATCAGCTCATGTCCGTTAGGTCCACGTGGAACTTCGTCTTGGAGGCGATCCGGTATGAAGCTTGTGCCCGATCCATATGATCCAGGTCATTTCCGGTTTATGTTTATTGAGATGGTAAATAACCGACCGGTTCTATTTACTTATCATTCTAATTCAAATACGTGGCATACTAAAGAAGCAGAAAATCAGAGTAATTTGGCTTTTAAGAAAAACAGTAGTAGTGATGTATTTTTAAGCTTATCAAATAGACCTCACGAGAGTATCGTGATGTGCGTGGACGATGAGTCGATGATAAATCGGTTTCCGGCGATTTTGAGACCGAGGATAAACCAAGACGCGATCAGAGAATGCCCTTCAAGTGTGGGATTCAGCAGGAACGATCTGGAGAGTCAATTGTTGCATATACATGGAGATGAATACAAAGTGGTTATTAGATTAGACACAATAGAATTATCGAAGATGAAGAAAATGAAGAGTTTAGAGGTTTGGGAGATAAGCGCGAATGGTGAGAAGTGGGAGTTAATGTCAAGAGCTCCAAGTGAAGTGATCAGCAACAAGCCTTGTGGCGTGATGATGGGATGCTTAGAGAGGAGATTAGGAGTGATTAGAGTGGCTCTAATGACAAATCATGAGGGTTTATGGAATATCATTTGGTTGGATTATGATAAAGTGAGGGATAAGTGGGAGTGGGTCCCGCTACCTCATTGTAGATTCTTGCAAGGATCAAATATGGCCGGGATTAGCTTCTCTTCTGGCCTCACTTTTTCTTTGTAACAACACTTAAAAATTTTAATATAAATGTCGGTATCAATCATCCGACCATACGCTTTTTTTTTTGTATATGATTGTTGGAATTAATAAATGAATTTCACGAGCTGGGACAGTGTCATGCTTCATGAGGATTCAAGTCAACCACGGATGCAAACTCTAGAAATTAATAATTGAATCACGGGCTCACA